ACTGAGCCTCTGGGGCTGGAGTGAATCCAGCTGAGACAGACACCTGGTTAGACTCTTGTCCACTCCTCAGGCCCCAACGCACCTCGGCAAGGATTTGCAGTGACACAAGGAGCCTTTACAACCCGTCAGGTTTATTAGCTAGAACCCAGCCCAAGAAATCCCCAGGTTAGCGCAGAGAAGCAAAGGCTAAGACACCGTCCATCCCAGCCATGCCAGCGAGCCACCCAGCCAATCCACTTTTGGCCCTCTCGCTTTGTCAGTCCCAGGTGAGAGCTCTGCATCTCCTTAGCTCTTCCTTGCCAGGGCCAAATTCTCCCCTGGTGGTACTCCATTATATTTGTGGTGTTACAACAGCATAGGCTTTGGCTCTGAGGGTCTGGACAGCCCGGGGGCTCCCCCTCTGTGGGAATTTCCCGGGTATGTAAGGGAGCTGCTGGAAGGCAGGGCCACTCTAGGCTTGGCACCTCCTGCCACCCCTCAGTCCATTCTCCTCCTCCCCCAGGCCCATGCTGAGTTCACATGTTCTGCCTGCAGAGTGGTGTCAGTTGTTCTGGCTTTGGGGTCCCATTGTGTTTCTGGATCCTCCATTGATACGGTCAGTTTCAGCCAGTCCTTTAACCCCCCACTCATTCCACCCCAGACAGCTCCGTGACCCATCACCTCATGGCTTCTGCTCGGCCCCAAGAGCAGATTTAACCCTTCTGCACTCACTGGGGAGCAATGCAAAGTACTGAGGGAAACTGAGGCTTGCCTAGGAAATATAAAAATATTACAGAAAATTCCCCTTTTTTACAGGTTTAGAGCAGGGGGGCAGGGTGTCAGGACTCCTGGGTTCTATTTCCCCCTTTGGGAGAAAAGTGGGGTCTGTTAGGTGGGGCAGGGAGTAAGGACCCCTGGGTTCTATTTCCTGCTTTGCTGCAAGCTCACTATTACAACACTTCTATATTACCTCTGAGGTACTTGTTTAGCGAGAATGGCAGTCACTAGACACCATCTGTCCAGCTTGTCAGGCCGGTGATCATAGGCGTGCGTACGGGGTGTGCTGGGTGTGCCCAAGCACACCCTAATGCAGGAGTGGGCAAGCTCGTCCTGCCCGGCCTGCCTGAGCTCCAGGGACGTTGGGGCAGGGAATCCCGGGGACAGTCAGGGGACGCAGAACGGGGGTTAGAATAACAAGCCCATGGCTTTACATTTTAATTCAATCGTACGGTACCCACTTTTAATTTTAAAATATGGATCGGTTCGTTGTTAAGATAAGAAAAGGAGCAGACAAGCTGTTCATGTGAAAGAGCCTTTTCGAAACTAGCACATGTAAAAAACAAATGAAGAAGTACAATGTCCCAACAGCGCCTCGACTCACTCATGATTTTGTACATTGAACAAGAATTGGCTTCGTCAGTTAATTACAATGATGTGATTGAGGAATTTAAGTCCATAACACCTGGTAAGCGACGTCTCATTCTCTAGGACAGGAAGATGAAGAAACCTTAATCTGTTTTGGTCAGCTTTGGTTAGCTCGTTATGTGGTTAAAGATAAAGATCATGAAAATTGACTGTATCTTTGTATACACCTGGTTATCACAACAGCAAAAATTTAGTGTTTTGTGTCTCATTTTTAAAGTAAAGTTTAGTTGTTAATTTAAAAAAATTAAGTTTAGTTCAGTTTTAGTTTCTTTAATTTGTTTGATTAATACAAATAATATCCTTTATGATTGAGTATTCAATAAATGTTCACCTTAAAAATAAATAAATAAATAAAATCCCCTCGGTGCACACCCTAATGAAATGTGCTGTGCACCCCTATGCCGGTGTTGTCTCCCTGAGTTGCACTGTGTGACCTTTGGAAGATCTCTGCCTCATCATTCATTTCTCTATGTTTAGAGGCCCTGTGGTCTCATGGCTAGAGCACCAGGCTGAGACTCTGGCGATTTGTGTTCTCTTCCTTGTTCTGACACTGCCCTGCTGGGTGACCTTGTGTCAATCACTTCTCCTTTCTTTACCTCAGTTTCCTGTCCCAGGCTTTTGTCTCTTTAGACTGTGAGCTCTCTAAGGCAGGGACTGTCTCTCCTTCCGTGTCTGCACACAGGCCAGTACAGTGCATTAGACCATGAGAGCTCAGGCTAGTGGCTTTGTGTGCCAGCGGCCCAGCGCTATGTGGAAATGGCTGTGATTTGTGCAGTGGTGCATAGAGGTGCCTGTCACTCCAGGGCTGGGAGGATGGCACTCGGGTCTTTGGCTGGTGGCTCTTGCTTTCATGCTCAAGGTCATGCTGAGCCCAGGTTTGGGGTTATTCAGGACAATTCCCCCAGGTCAGATTGGCAGGGATCTTGGAGTGGTTTTGCTTGTACTGCAGCATGTCGCGTGGATCGCCTGCTGGGAGCAGCTGGGCGCCTCCCCTAATCAATTCCCTGTTGTTGGCAGCGCCTCGATCTCTCCTGTTTTCTACACCAGTTGAGTTACCCGAGGGCTGAAATGCTTTTGTCTAACAGGAGTCACTGGGCTCAGTATTAGGGACACATGGGTGAGGTCCAATGGCCTGTGCTACACAGACTGGATGGTCTGATGGTCCCTCCTGGCTGAAGCTCTGTGAGACGGGGCTCACACTAGCAACTAGAGAGGTCAGAAAGCTGGGCTCTGATTGCATATCTGCCTTCTCTGCCCAGCCCCGTGCTGGGCTACAATTCCTGCTGGTGCATTTCCAGCCCATCTCTGGCACTTGCCTCTATGCGGTAGCCAGAGGTGTAATTTCCAGCTCAGGAACCGACTGAGCTAGCAGGCTAGAGCAGCTATGTAGTCACGGCTGCACGGGAGGCGGGATGGGCTGGCCACGCAGAGCATGATCCTGTCCGAGACCCAGGGTGCATGCACGGGGCAGCTGGCCCATCCCACCTCCTGCACCACCCAGGCTACACTGCTATTTTCACTTCACTAGCTCCAGCAAAGTTAATTATACCTCCAGCTGCAGCGCAGCCCGCCCCTTAGTCTCCAATCTGCAGGTAGCTGGTGCCAAACCTAGAGTGGCCCTGCCTTCCAGCCCTTACATACCCGGGAAATTCCCACAGAGGGGGAGCCCCGGGGCTGTCCAGACCCTCAGAGCCAAAGCCTACGCTGTTGTAACGCCACCAATATAATGGAGTTCCACCAGGGGAGAATTTGGCCCTGGCAATGAAGAGTTGGGCAGAGGTTGAGCAAACAGGGAAGTTGCAAAAGAAACATTCTTTGTTAGGAACAGCCCTGGGGTTTCCCCACACTTGTGTAATGGGAGACTCAATTGTCAAGTGGCCAATGGGATGGAAGATTTTGCCACCTCTGCTCCAGCTGGCTCCTATTTAAAGGGCAGCTTGTGAACTGGGGAGCAGCATTTTGCAAGATTGTGCCAGAAGGTGAGTTTGTACCGTTGGTTGGGCGGGATTCTCCAGACTCAGCCTTGGGGCAGGATTTGGGGCACAGCTCCTGCGTGTGCCCAGCTCCCTGGGGCCTTGGTGGTGGTGTAACTTTCAATGGCTTTCAGGATTTGATGGATTTAATCTGATGGATTTAATCTGGTTCCAGGCACAGTGGGGACTCTCTTAATCTAATGTGAACTGAGCTCCTCTCCATTTAGCAAGGGATCGGCTTGGGATAAAGATTTGAAAAGCAGCTAAAGAGTTTAGGAGCCAGTGTTCCATTTTCAAAAGTGACTTAGGTGCCTATGTGCATCATTAGGCACCTAAATACCTTTAAAAGAACAGGAGTACTTGTGGCACCTTAGAGACTAACACATTTATTTCAGCAAAAGCTTTTGTGAGCTACAGCTCACTTCATCGGATGCATACAGTGGAAAATACAATGGGGAGATTTTATATACACAGAGAACGTGAAACAATGGGTGTTCTCATACACACTGTAATGAGAGTAACACCCATTGTTTCACGTTCCCTCTGTATATAAAATCTCCCCATTGTATTTTCCACTGAATGCATCCAATGAAGTGAGCTGTAGCTCACAAAAGCTTATGCTCAAATAAATGTGTTAGTCTCTAAGGTGCCACAAGTCCTCCTGTTCTTTTTGCAGATACAGACTAACACGGCTGCTACTCTGAAACCTAAATACCTTTGATATCTGGCCTTTAGGAACCTTGTCTCACTGAAAGTCAATGGGAGTTAGAATCCTAAACCATGTGAAAATGCTTCCCTTAAACTAAATCAATGTAAATCTGGTTTTAATCCCAAGTGGACTGGTCTAAACCCAGTTTTGCACGGATTTAACGATACTGATTATTAAACTCTTTAGCTATAAATGCTTTTATATACTTCTAGCTGCATCCACCCCAGGGGGGCATGGCGCGAACTAGATCAGTCTCTAATGGATAACTCAGTGCAAAATGGTGTGTAGCCCAGCCCTAACCTGATCCACACCAGGCGTCTCTCAGTTTAGCTTAAGTCGATCCCTTACCAAATGGCAATTCCATTGGAGTAAGAGCGTCCATACTGCGACTCACACGGCTTTCACCAAACTGGTTTACAGTCGTGCCTGAGTGAAACGGGTGCAGCTTGGAGCAGAGAGACGAGGCTCTTTTTGTGGGTGCTTTAATTTTGTTTTGGGGAGGGGTAGGTGGGGGGGGTGAATCAGTTCTCTAAGGAGCTAATTCTAAGGGCTCAAACCTTTAACGGGAACCCCCTTCCCCCACATACGTGTGTGTGTGGATTTCAGCCTGAAAATGCAACCACCAGTGAACATGGTCCCCACTGGCAGCATGGAGGCAGTCCTGCTCTGCTAGACCCTAGGATGGGGGTGCCATTCCAGCCCTCCCCAATAACCCCCTCATTACCATCCTGCTGCCTCCCCACCCACCCACCGCTCCCAGTCTCCTGCTCCAAATCCTTCCTCCCTTTCCCCCATCTGCTGCCGTTACATTCCCCCACCCCTCAGTATCCCTTCCAGCTGCCCACATTCTCCTCCCCACATCCCCTGCACCCATGGGCTCACCTGTTCCCGCTTTGACCCTCATCCCCTTCCCTGGCAATGTGGCTTTCCCTCTTGCCTGTGCCCCACTCCGCTGCCTTGTGTGCACCTCAGCTCCTACCACGGGTTCCAGAGGGCTCCTGTCCTGGGGTCTGACGTGTTGGCCGGGTCTCTCCCCTGCAGGTAGCTCAGCACCCAGCGGGATGAAGGCTGCCGTGTTCCTGCTGCTCGCCCTCCTGGTGCCCGCGTGCCACACAGAGGCTCAGTGCATCATTGACAATGTGGTTGATCTGAAGGTGCAGGCAGCGATTACTTCCATAGGTAACTGACCCGGAGGTGCCTCCCCCAGAGATGGGGGTGTGTGTGTCAGATTCTGCGTGGTTGTAGCGGGGGGAGGGGGGCAGGTCAGACAGGTACAACACAGCGTGTAAATGAGGGGGATGTGGAACCAGCCCACATACAAGAGCAACATTATCTGTATCTCACACTGTGGCTCTCTATCGTCCCCTAGTGGTTGGCCCACATAGTTTCTGCTAGTGATTCTGAGCCGCTAGGCCTGGGGCTTTGACTTATGCAACAGAGACTCCAGGGGTCCCAGGTTCGATTCCTGCTCCTGCGAACCCACCGGGTGCAGCTCTCTGACTGCCCGTCCCAGCTCTGCTCCCAGCCAGCCCCGTTCAGTGTGTAAACAGGGGGAGCTGGAACCCTTGGGACTCCCTGCCGTTCCTCCGCATCGGTTCAGTCTTGAGCACAGCACGGAGCCGGCATTTCTGTTAGTTCTATTCCAGTGGCTGCGCTCTGGGCCTCATCATGCCAGGCGCTGCACAGGCCATGGTGAGACGCTCCCTGCCCCAAAGAGCTGCCAAGAGACGGATCATCATCCCCATTGCACAGAGGGGAACCGAAGCCCAGAGGGACTAAGTGACTCACCCAAGGTCACACAGGGAGTCGGTGGCAGAGGCAGGAATTAAACCCACATCTCCTGCAGCCCAGCCCAGACCAATACCTTAGCCACAGATCCACTGGATTGGTCAGTCACCCCACGGGAGTTTCTGGAGACCGGGTCCATGAGGTGCCATCTGCACAGCGAGCACCATCTCTCCCCAGGGGCTGAGTGGGGCTGGTTGGGGTCTCTCAAGGCTGGCTCTGCCCATCTCTCTCAGCTGGCTGCTGCTCACCCGGATATGGCTGCATTCAGCGGGGCTGGAAGAATTTGTATAGTGGGGGAGCTGAGAACCAAACTGTATATGATGGAAACCTCTTCAAGCCAGAGAGTACGGTAGCGCCCCCAGTTCCAGCACCTAGGGGTGCCTTGGCTGTGGGAAGCAGCCAGGAATTATTTCTGCTACCTCCATCCCTGCCCTTTGTTCACAGCCCGGGGGGGTCTTGCTGAATGCCCAGCAGCTTCCACCAGGTAACACTCTTCTGGGGGGCTGTGAGCAACCGGCATCGAACATGAGACCTCCAGATCTCAGGCCAGGAGCCTCTATTGGTCCTGGCGCTGCGGCTGTATGTAGCCCAGCCACCACTCGGGGGAGCAGAGCGCCACATGGAGTGGGGCTGGGTGGGTTCCACCTGTGCAGGTAACAGCTGGGGCAGAGGCAGCTTCTCTCCACCTGAGCCTGGGGGGAGGGGCAGCCTTTCTGCACCCAGGGTCCTGCTGGCTACAACTCTGCCTCTTGCCTTGCAGTGTCCGCCACCCTGGCCAAAGCCAAGCTTCTCTGCCAGGACGTCTCGGCGCGTGGGGCACTTGTCTCCTGCCCAGCAGGTGAGAGAACTTTCCCGAGTGCCCCGCAGGCCCAAGGAGGGAGGGGCCGTTGGGGCCCAGACCCCACCCCCTCTGCAGTCCTTGGGGGGTGTTGAGCTGGGGCAGCGATGGACCACCAGCCTGACTGGGGCCTCCCTGCACTTACGCTGCCAGGTGCCTGGAGCAATGGCATTCGCACCACTCCCGAGTCCCTGGGGGCACTGGATGCTGTAGAACTGGGACCAATGTGGGCCCCTGGATCAGACCCCTGGGACGTCTCACTGACCTCCCTTGCTTGGGCAGTGGCCTGGCTGCAAGGGAGCCACAGGGCCATGCCCTGGGGGCTGGGGAGGAGGAGACAGCAGGGCACCTCACTGCCGCCCATGACTCCCATCCTGCCACCAGCTGCTTCCCTAACCCCCCATCCCCCCACAGGGTACAAGCCCACAGGCTGCGCCTGCGGAATGGGCTGCGGCTCCTGGGACATCCGCACCGACTCCACCTGCCACTGCCAGTGCGCCGGCATCGACTGGACGGCCGCACGCTGCTGCAAGATAGGGCTGTAGTGATGCCCAGCCCCAGCCTGGGGCACCGGAGAGCCCCACCCGGCCTGCTGCCCCTGCCGTGGGCCCTGGCACAGAACCATGCTGGGCCTCTTGTGCCCAGTGCAATGAATAAACTTGGATCTGGGTCTGCTGATGCTTCTCTGGCTCAGTTCTTCCCCTGCCCTCCCAGACTTTGGTACCTAGGGCCAGAGCATGGGCAGGGGGCACAATTCTGCCTCCCTCCTATTTCCCCCAGAAAGGCCCCTGTCCCAAATCGGTTGGGCTGCCCCTGCTGGCAGCTCTCCAGATCCCTACGGAGGTCCAGACACTGAACATCCCCCACCCCTCAGGGTGCTCTGAGCTTCCCGTGGTCTCAGCAGGCTGCAGTGCTGGAGTCTGCCAGAATTCCCTCTGAAGGTGTGGGACAGCTGGGTTCCCTCTTCCAGGGGCCGGGTGGTCAGCGTAGCACGGAGCGCACAGACACCGCGTGCAGGGTTCTAGCCCCATTGCTCTTCACTTAACAGAGCCCAGATCATAAAGGAAACAACCATCCCCCGACCGCAGCACTGCTCCCGAGCTCACCTGTCCTTGGGGAGTCCTTCGGGGTCTGTCTGAGTTCAGGTCACAGAGTTCCCCCTCACCACATTGGGATGCTGCAGCAACTGGGGGTGGGGGAGCTCTGGGGTGCCCCTCCTCTTTAGCTGGTGAAAATGTACAAAGACCGGAAATAGATCAGCCCCGGCCCTTTGTAACCTTGCAGCCCTGCTATCACCTGCCTCAGCCTCCTCTGGTGATCCCAGACCTCAACCAGGTGCCTTTGTGGCCAGGCCACCCCCTTCCCAGACAACCCCCTGGGAGCCAGTCTAGTGGCTAGGGTATTTGTAGTAGAACCAAGGTTCATCCCAAATTAACGACCCTCAGGATTTGGCCCATTTGCACATGCAGGTATCTGATTTAGGGCAGAGGCCAGTAGGATCTGGGCCTCTGGAACGACACATGTCTGGGTTTAGAGACATCAGTTGAGGTCTTTCAATCAAGAGGGGACGTTATGAATGGTATTATGGTAGCACCCAGGAGCCCCAGTCGTGGGCTAGGCCCCCATTACGCCAGCTGCTGTACAGACCCCAGCGAAGCAGGTAACCAAAAGGAGCCCAGCCCCAGAGAGCCCATGCGGACCAGCAGCATTCATGCCGGGCCAGCACAGGCTCTGCCCTGACAAGGCTCAGAACCCACCTTACCCCATAGAGCACGCTGGGTGGTGCTGGGACAGGCTGCGCTCGGGACAGGAGCCGAGGGAGGGCTGTTGGCTCCGGTGCACAGAGGGGAACTGAGGCCCAGCTCAGGCACTGGGGGTGAGGACGCTGAGCGTTGTAGGGCCTAGACATTTGCTGGAAAAACGAGGTCGTCCCCGAGGCCTGAGTCAGGTGCCCAGGCTGCCCCCTGGATGGAGGGGGGAGACAGGTGCCTGAGAATGGGAGTAACAAGAGCTAGCGAGCTAGGTGGGAGCCAGCCAATGGGAAATGCCAACGAGAAGGCTGTGTGCTAAGCCCTGCCCCTCTCCCGGAGGTCAGGGCCCAGGGCCACGTCTACACTGCAGGCACAGTGGTGGAGGAGCTCATGGTGTGGACACTTCCTGGGGGGCGGCAGGGCTGTTTCCCTCGCTGCAGGAACTTCTCCTCCCTGAGTGAGGACAGCAGCCGGCTAGGCTGGGAGTTAGGTCGGCTTAACTGGGTTGCTCTGGGGTAGGGGTCCCCAATGTGGTGCCCGCGGGTGCCATGATGCCCGCCAGGGCATTTTTGTGCGCCCACAGGATGCCCTGCAGCCAAAATGCTGCCGAGAAGCGTGGCCGTTTCTCAGCGGCATTTCGGTCGCCGTGCTTATTGCCACTACCGCTTCTCTGCGGCGGCATTTTGGCGACGGGGTGTCTGGCGCCCGCCACGGTCTTCTGGGAGTAGCAATATGCTATTCCCACGAGAAAGGTTAGGGACCACTGCTCTGGGGCATGAATGTTTCACCCCCTGAGCTCCAGGGCTGTGTCAGCTGAGCTTCGAAGTGTTGGCCAGGCCTAAGCCTGCAAGGCAGTGCCTGTCTCCTAGTGAGCCACCAACCCAGAGCAGCTGTGCGGTCAGCTGCTGGCCTCGCGGGTGTGGGGCCCAATTCCAGAGGGTGCGCTGAGGGGCTGACGAACTCCCCACAGAACACATGGGGGAAGGAGAGCCCTTCCCTTTATATTTATGACACCTACCTTTGGTGATTTTGATTAACTTGTCCAATTGTTAAATAATATAGATCAGAGTATCTGGCTGCCTGCGGCAGTTCTTTACAGACCATTTCTGTGAGAAAAGGGCCCATTTTCCTTCAGAATAGCTATAAAGGCTCCTGGGGACAAAAACATGTAGTAACCACCAGACCCCCTTGTATAATTTGTTTAACTACCAGGGTTCCTCCCAATGTGACTGTACCGAGTTGCACAAATAATTACATTTACATAACTGGGTTTTATCATCAAATCAAAAACTTCTTTCTTACAACACCACAACTGTTTCTCTTTAACGTCTTCACAACAGTTACCTTTTAACATTTCCACAGCTCCCAACCACATTGAGTAAACTGAGGAGGAGAAGAAGAAGAAGAAGAAAAGGACATAGTTAGCTCTGAGCAAAAGGTAGGGCTCCCTAACTTTAAACAGCTGGGACCCTTAACCCAGGTTTTTATCCTGGCTCTAGGAGAAAAGTGGGGGTTGTTACCCACTCCTGCAAACCCTGCCTTCATTTTGAAACATTTTTCTCTCCACTCCCCTAGCACCAAGTCCCAGCTCCTGTCTATTAAGGAGGTCTAACTCTGCTTTTGACTCCAAACCCTGTTGTGCCAAATCATCTGTAACCACCCCCAACTCTAATTTACAATCCTCCAGTAGCCTGGCAGCCTGATTATTGGCAGCTTCCCGTAATGCTGCCTTTACTTCAAACCTCTTCCAAGCGGACTGAAGTGCCTCCTTTCCCTGGAAGGCATCTTGTCCCCATTGACAGGGACCTCCTTCCGCTACCCATTTACCAAAGAGGGTGGACTCCTCAGCCAGCCCCCATCCCTCTGGGTCTGCTCCCATTTCCTTCTTAATCTCATCCCAGGTTGACCCCTGTGACTGGAATAGGCCCTGATTCTTCCGTATCCACTTACCCAAAAAGACATTATCCCAGCTTCCAAAGACCTGCAACTACCATCATGAGAGCCTGCCATGCCCCCTCCAAGCAGCTGTGCGGACAATTGGGGAGGGGGTCTTACGTGGCTGCTACTTACCTGTCCAGGGTGATGCATCCCAGTCACGGCACCAAGATATTAGAGGGCTTTCCCTCAACCCTCCCACTTCCCTGGTTCTAGTCACGCAGACAGCAAGCAGCAAAAGACCAGAAGTCCGAAGCTCAGACAATGTGATGCTTATTGGGGTTAGTTTCCAAGCAAGAATATTCCGAAGCCCTTCACACCAGTCGGGCTTATCTCTATATGCCGATAGAGTCTGTTCCCGACGTCCCCCTTCCCAGCTCCGACGCCACAGAGCCTTTGCCCCGCGTCCCCCTTCCCAGCTCCAACGCCACAGAGCCTTTGCCCCGCGTCCCCCTTCCCGACTCCCAAGCCGCAGAGCCTTTATCCTGCGTCCCCCTTCCCAGCTCCCACGCCGCAGAGACTTTACCCCGCGCCCGCCTTCCCGGCTCCCACGCTGCAGAGCCTTTACCCCACTTTCCCCTTCCCGGCTCCCATGCAGCAGAGCCTTTAGCCCACATCCCCCTTCCCAGCTCCGACGCTGCAGAGCCTTTACCCTGCGCCCCCCTTCCCGGCTCCAACGCCGAAGAGTATTGCCTGTGTCCCTGTTCCCCGTTCCCTATTCCCGTTCCCCCCCTTAGCAAACATGATTCCAATTTCCCTTCCACTTCCTGTTTGACCCCAGTTTATATAGTGATATTCTCAGCTATACTTAACCAATCATTTTACTGAAATTTAACTAACCCAGTAACATATTGTAACATAATTCTCTAACCAATTATATCCCACTACCCTAATTAACTTACACCTAGCAAAATTAATTATACAGCAGACAGAAACCAGACAGAGTAACAATAGAAAAGTGGGGGCCATAAAGATAAAACACACAGAAATGAGCGTTTTACAACCACAACCACAATAAGTGATTTCTTGCCAGACAGGATGCTGTCAAACTAAGTTTTCTTTAACCAGCTTAAGATCTGTTTCTTTGTCTGGTGGTGACAGGCACTATCAGGACAGGATCGTCTTCCTAACAGCCCAACACCAGCTTATTTCAATGTGACTGGTTTGGGATGTGAGGATGTGACGGTTCGCTTCCCAGCTTATGGCTGCCCCTGCTGCCTAGCCACAGGCCTTAGCCTAAGAACAAAGCCTCAGACTCTCTCAAGGGAAAGAAGGCCCATACACAGGTGGACTGTGATTTTGAATCTTTGTTTTTATACCCCTGTAACTAGCTAAGTGATAAAAATGCACCTAAGTTATTAAAGTATAGGCCTTTACCGGCAGGCATGAATATCTATATTCTAACAATGCAACAGCAGGAGTCATAGACTCTCAGGATTGGAAGGGACCTCAGGAGGTCATCTTGTCCAACCCCCTGCTCAAAGCAGGACCAATCCCCAACTAAATCATCCCAGCCAGGTCTCTGTCAAGCCTAAACTTAAAAACCTCTAGGGAAGGAGATTCCACCACCTCCCCGGGTAACCCATTCCAGTGCTTCACCACCCTCCTAGTGAAAAAGTTTTTCCTAATATCCAACCTAAACCTCCACCACTGCAACTTGAGACCATTAGGAATTGTAGCCCAGCACGGGGCTGGGCAGGGAGGGCAGACATGCAATCAGAGCCCAGCTTTCTGACCTCTCTCTAGTTGCTAGTGTGAGTCCTGTCTCACAGAGCTTCAGCCAGGAGGGACCATCAGACCAGCCAGTCTGTGTAGCACAGGCCATTGCACCTCACCCACGTGTCGCTAATGCTGAGCCCAGTGACTCCTGTTAGACAAAAGCATTTCAGCCCTCGGGTAACTCAACTGGTGCAGAAAACAGGAGAGATCAAGGTGCTGCCAACGGCTGAGGCCCCTGCAAGGCAGAGAATTGATTAGGGGAGATGCCCAGCTGTTCCCAGCAGGCGATCCACACAACATGCTGCAGAAACACCCCAAGGTCCCTGCCAATCTGACCTGGGGGAATGGTCCTGAATAACACCAAACCTGGGGTCAGCGTGACCTTAAGCATGGGAGCAAGAGCCAACAGCCACAGACCTGAGCGCCATCCTCCCAGCCCTGGGGTGACAGGCACCTCAAGCCACCACTGCACAAATCACAGCCATTCCCATGGTAGCGCTGGGCTGCTGGCACACAGAAGCCATTAGCCTGAGCTCTAATGCACTGTACTGGCCTGTGTGCAGACAAGGTAGGTACTGCCCCAGAGAGCTCACAGTCTAGCAGGGCAGTGGCACAGCAAGGAATTGAACCCAGAGCTCCAGAGTCCCAGCCTGATGCTCTAGTCACGAGACCACGGTGCCTCCAAACGTAGGGAAATGAATGATGAGGCAGGGACCTTCCAAGGGTCACACAGTGCAAATCTAAGCAACATCACCGGCCTGACAAGGTGAACAGATGGTGTCTAGTTACTGCTGTTGTTGCTGCTAAACAAATACCTCAGAGAGATAATATAGAAGTGTTGTAATAGTGAGCTTGCAGCAGAGCAAGAAATAGAACCCAGGAGTCCTTACTCCCAGCCCCCCCGCCCCCTCCCCCCGCTCTAATCCTATGACAAAGGGGAGTTTTCTGTAATATTTGTATAATTCCTAGGCATGCCTCAGTTTCCCCCTGTACTTTGCCTTGCTCCCCAGTGGGTGCAGAAGGGCTAAATCTGCTCTTGGGGCACAGCAGAAGCCATGAGGTGATGGGTCACGGAGCTGTCTGGGGTGGAATGAGTGGGACGTTAAAGGACTGGCTGAAACTGACCGTATCAATGGAGGATCCAGAAACACAATGGGACCCCAAAGCCAGAACAACTAACACCACTCTGCAGGCGGAACATGTGAACTCAGCATGGGCCTGGGGGAGGAGGAGAATGGACTGAGGGGTGGCAGGAGGCTAGGATAAGAGCTGGCCTCTGGGGAGATGCAGAGCTCTCACCTGGGACTGACAAATAGAGAGGGCCAAAAGTGGATTGGCTGGGTGGCGCACTGGCATGGCCAGGATAGACGATGTCTTAGCTTTTGCTTCTCTGTGCTAACCTGGGGACTTCCTGGGCTGGATTCTAGCTAATAAACCTGACTGGTTGTAAAGGCTCCTGGTGTCACTGCAAATCCTTGCTGAGGTGTGTTGGGCCCTAAGGAGCGGACAAGTCTCTGACCAGGTGTCTGTCTCAGCGGGATTCCCTGGAGCCCTAAAGGCACAGAGGATATGTGGCCTATGCTTGAGGAACAGCAGGACCTCTTGGGGGGCTGGCCCATGACAAATCCCCACTCCTCTTGCAGAGCTGGGAATGGAAGCCAGGAGTCTTGGTTCCCAGCCCGCTGCTCTAACCCAATAGACATAAAAAGAAAAGGAGTACTTGTGGCACCTTAGAGACTAACCAATTTATTTGAGCATGAGCTTTCGTGAGCTACAGCTCAGACTAACACGGCTGTTCCTCTGAAACCTGCCAATAGACATAGGTGCCCGCCCAGAACCAGCGATGTAACCTAGGAGGCCCAGTTCCCTCCCACCTGCTGTAATGCACTAGAATAGGGTTTCTCAAACTGAGGTCTGTGAGGGTACGCCAGGGGTCTGTGACTCATGTCCAGGGCCACTGGCCTCACTGATCAACTCCTCCCCTCCCTCCCAGTGCCTCCTGCATGCTGCAGAACAGCTGTGGAGGTGGAAAGCAGTGGGGAAGAGGAGGGGCAGGGGTGGAGCAGGGGCAAGAAGAGGTGGGGTAGAGTAGGGCCTTGGGGAAGGGGTGGAGTGGGGGAGGGCCTGGGGCTTAAAGGGAAATTGGGAGTCCATGAAAAATTTTAAATCAAAATGGGGGTCCTTGGATTGCTAAAGTTTGAGAACCGCTGCACTAGACCTCAACCCCATCCCAGAGCTAGGAAAGAGAACCCAGGAGTCCTGCACTGACCACCAGGCTCTCCAGCGCCCAGTTGCCCTGAACCTTGACACAGGTGAAATCTCAGGAGCAGAAGCCAGCCAGGATTGACACAATAAACAGATCCCCCTGAGAGAAGTGAGTGTGTGCAGGGGAAGCTCATCTGCCACTATACCTGCCTGGAGTTGAGGGGGGAGGGTTGGCTCCCCAGGGCCCCCCTTCACTAGTGCTGAATTCACAGATCTCATTGACACTGACTGGGCTGTGTGGAGGCTGAACATGACCAGCCCCTCTCGGCAAGGCACAGTCCTTCCATTTTCCCCAGCCCTAGGGCCGCCCCACACCCAGCCCCACTCCCTCAGCAAAGAGACCTCTCACACACGAGAGCAGCCATGGATTGGTTGGTGTAGACCTGGCACTGTTTCTGCCCGGGACTGTCAGCTACCTCGGGGTCAACTAGCTAGGGGGCCTTGTTGAAACTGACACACCCCAGGGACCAGGAAAAACTGAACACTTCCCCTGGGCCCCCTAGCCAGCAAATGTTCGTCACTCACAGCACTGAGTCAGTTGGAAAAACATGGAAAACTTAATTAAGGGGACCAGGCACAGAGCTGGCACCTGGGAAAATGCAGCAACCACAAATCATCCTGATACGTGCACTCCTCCTCCTCCCCCTCCCCTGCTCTGCGGACCGTGGAGGGCCTTGGCTCTCTCACAATTTGCCCCATACGAAGTGTGTCTACAACTAATAACTAAACCACCCCCCTGCTCTCCCCCCACACTGTGCCTGTGGCAGTGCCCTTCCCTGCCGTGTCTCTTCTGCAGGGGTGAATGTCCAATGAACCCCAGTTCTGCTTTGCACCATCCCAGGGCCCTGGAGGGCTCTGAGCCAGCCCCCTCCAGCTGCCAGGGGAAGCTGCCTAGTCTGGTCCAGAGCCCCACAGGCTGGCCCAGCGATAGTGATTTCAGCTACGCTGGTGCTGGCAGGGGGCGTTGTCCTTAACCACAACACCACCTCACCAATGCCACCTCTGTACACCAGCTCCACTGCCCAGGGTCTACTACTGAGCCAGCTATAGCACTTACAGTGCTAATGTAGGGAACGGGGCCCTTATCAGAGTCACTCAGCGTAGTCAGTGCATTCAGCAGCTTCAGCAAAAAGCCACCAGGGATGGGGGCCTATGATGGGATGTGCCTACCCCACACTAGGGAAGAAAGGGTTAACCCCACGCTATGGGCAGCGGAAGTCCCACCCTTCAGACCATGCTGGGCATGCTCCAACTGCTGCCTCAGTATAAAAGGGAGCAGCCCAGTTCATTCTAGGCTGACCACCCAGGAGGGAGGTCACTTTGCGGAGGCGCCTGTCCAGGAGCCCCTTCAGCACTTGACTGCGGGAGCCAGAGATCCCAAGGACCAGACGAGAAACCTGTTGTC